AGTAAATTGTGGTGTTCCTCATGGCTCTATACCTGGACTCTTCCTCCTTTTTATCTGCATACCCCCCCAGAACAAATTATCCATTAGTACAGTCTCAACTTTCACTCTCATAATGATGACATGAAGCTTGAACCTCAGCTGTACCTTTATATAAAAATTCCGCCCCTCGCCCACCCTGGACGGTATTGTGTCTCTCCTCGGGTCCACTATAAGAGGCTTGGGAGTTTGACAGTCATGCGCAGTATCTTAGCTGTTCCTGGGACTGCACTCTTCTGGAGTGAGATGTCTGATATTTCACCGGGGATCTGTTGGAGCCACTTCTCCAGTGTGGGGGTTACTGTCCCGAGTGCCCCAATGACCACAGGCACTACTGTTGCCTTCGCCTTTCAGGCTTTCTCTAGCTCCTCTGAGCCCTTGGTATTTCACTAGTTTCTCGTGTTCCTTCTTCCTGATGTTGCTATTGCTTGGGATGGCGACATCGACCTCAACGGCTTTCCTCTGATGCTTGTCTACGATTATAATGTCCAGTTGGTTGGCCATTACCATTTTGTCGGTCTGTATCTGGAAGTCCCACAGGATCTCGACTCAGTCATTTTCCATCACCTTGGGAGGTGCTTCCCATTTTGACCTTGGGGTCTCCAGTTCATATTCTGCACAGATGTTCCTGTACACTATACCAGCTACTTGGTTATGGTTTTCCATGTATGTTTTTCCTTCCAGCATCTTACACCCTGCTGTTAGGTGTTGGACTGTTTCAGGGCCCTCTTTGCATGGCCTGAACCTGGGATCATGCCTGGTGTGGTAGACCTGGGCCTCTGTTGCTCTTGTACTCAAGGCCTGTTCTTGTTCATGATTAGTGCCTCTATGCTGTCCTTCAGTCCAGCCCTCTCCAGCCATTGGTAGGATTTGCTCATATCAGCCACTTCAGCTATTTGTCAGTGGTACATCCCATGCAGGGGTTTTTCCTCCCATGATGGTTCCTGATTATCACATCATCTGAAACGTGCAATTTAACTCAAAATAAGAAGACAGGGCATATTTAAACCTATGAAAAGAGGTCATTGAGTGTATGTTTAAAGTCCTCTGTGTCTCTACATAGTTTCTGTTTTGGACTGATCACACCTTCCTAAGTCTAATGTACACTGACAGACAATGAATAACTGGCTCAACAGATGCTGCGGCAGATTGCAAAGTTAAAACAACTAAAAGCATGTTTTTTGTCTAAGTTATTTTGTTACGATAAACTCTGACCGAGCATTAGATTGAAGTTTTCATTGGTTCCTAAATGAAAGGGGGATCTGTCCTCAACATGTAGTTATTTTTCCATTTGCCTGCATTATAACACGTTAAGCACAAAAGTTCTTTCAGACATGTCTTTCAGACATGTTGTTTTCCTTGACAGCTACTTATCACTGAAGTTAGCCTCATAAATATCAAAAGGTCATTAAGTATTTGTGCCAAAATTTCTATTAACAGAATAATCACATCATAACCAGACCAACAACATATTTAAATGATTTGTATATAAACCTCTACACCAGCTCCTATTGAAGCTTTATGGGCGGAGAGAGATGGACAAACTGAGAGACAGACTAACATGGCTGAAGTGAACAGAGCGCACACACAGCAAGAAAGCTGAAAACACAAACCTGTTAATAGCAATTACCTGTATACTAACGCTAATATCAGTCATTTGGGTTTTTTAATATCATAAGTCATTATAAAATACAATATTTCATTAGCTTTACATTTTTTTAAAGCATGGAATAAGTATTATTTGATAAATGTATGCATGTTTAACTGATGAAAACTAGCCATTTCATATTTGATATCGATTATACTTTTTAGTCTGTGTTCTTTTGTTGTCTCCTGTTACTTCCTTGGCCAAGACTTTCTTCTAAGAGTGTAAATTGACGCTCTATCTGAACATTTTTATAAGAGTTAATTTTAAGAAGAAATCACAGAGATACTAACATGGGAGAGACATGACTTCTGTCAAATTCATGCCAGTACTTAGAGTCTACATTGGCATTTTTGGACCAGATAATAAGTCTTAAAAGACTTATTGGAGCAACTTGACAGAATAAGTTTAGTTGATATCAATCCAGCTAAGAAGTAATGAATACAAAGACTGGTGTTTGTGTTAGGTTTTGAGACAGTGTTTTCCCCCTGTGTGATCAGGCAGCCTGTTTGTATTTTTCTCCAGATAACTTCCGTCTCTATTAGCCAACTTAATCAACAAGAGCTGGTTAGAGCAGAGCTATATGCCAGAGGCTTTTTTTTGTCTGACAGGCTGTACCCAGGGCAAAAGCCGTACCTAGAGGCATTGTGTACGTTGCCTGTGCTTGTCTCAGCCTGCCGTTGACTGCCACAGGAATACATCAGTTGCTGGATCTAATCTACCAATATGTTCAGGTAATTATCATTGGATGAGAGGTCGGTTAATTTATTTAGGTTTGCTTCATTTTTTGTGGTAGTGAGTTTACATTAACTGTCAAAGATGATGATTTGTGGAGTTTTAAATAACAGTCACTACCGTCAGTAGCGGTTCTAGGCACGGGCGAACAGGGCAGCCGCCCGGGGCGGCATTTGTGTCATGACTCATGGGGGGCGGCACGAGCACTTCCAAAAAAATAAAATAAAAGATAATAATAATAAATCTTAACCGCAAAGCGGTTTTGTATTAACTCTTGTTGTCAAATTGGCGCCCCCCCCCCCCCCCCCGGCTGCTGTAGGCGCCCCTGCTTGCTCCGAAGGTGCTGCACAGAGGCTGACAGACTGTAGGAGACGAGGCGGGGAGAGAGTCGCGGGGGGACAGCTCTGCTCTGTGTACGCATGTCAGCATATCAGCGGGAGCGCGGATACGTCATTTTGTAGTTTTTTAATCATTTCTGGAGTCGCGGTGAATGAAATCACCGTACCCGTCTGCCTTTGATAGGCGAATAAAGCGCTCGGGTTCATGCTCGGATCTTGCTACGTGCTTGATGAGCTTCATGAGTGAAGTAAACAAAGACGGAGGCAGAGAGCAGCTTCAGAGGAGAAACATCCAGCAGTGTGAACAACCTCTTCATATGGAGTGCTTTGGCTCACACTATCAGCGTTTTCTCTGAGTGTTGCATGACTTTGGGTGAGAACAGAGATGAACACACTGTCAGCCACGTATTTATTTATTCATTTTTTAGTTTTTAGTTCTGCTTTTGTACTGGCACTATACTGGGGCAGCTGTATACCCTTTCAACACCTTATTTTCTATATTTACATTTGTATTGAATGGACACTTTGTCATGACTGCCACTTGTTTTACAGAAAGCAAATTATTTGTCTCCAGTGCAGAGCCTTTACTTTTATTTACACAGCAACTTTATTTCATTTGAGTTTGTTTGTTCAAGGTTTTCAAAATGTGATGAAGGTTCGCAAAACTAAAGGAGAGCTTTCTTGAAAGCCACGTGTTTAAGCTCTCAAATACTTTTTGAATTTTGTTTCTATCTACTACAGAGGCCGAGATAGCAGCTTTTTTGTAAACCTTAACACTTCAGAAAACCTCAGGATCTGGGGGCCCTTCTCAAAATGGGCCTCAGGATTGTGTTTTTTTCTATTGAAGGATTTCTGCAATTGAGAAATATATTATTTTTGTTGTTATAATAATAATAATACTACATAGTAATACAAAACTATCTGTTCAAAATTCTATCTCTTTTTGTGTTTGTGTGTGTGTGTGTGTGTGTGTGTGGTGGTGGTGGGGGGGGGGGGGGGGGCACTTGGAGAGGTGCTCGCCCGGGGAGTAATTTGGTCTAGAACCGCCACTGACTACCGTCACTGATTTATTTGAACAGAACAGCTAGATTCAAGTCACACTCGAGCTCAGTCATGTAACTGTATTTATACCTGTCTTCTGTTCTGTACCATAGTTTTTTTGTTGCCTATAAAATGAGTTTTAATGAAAATTACTTTATCATTTTGAGGTTTTGGGACATTTTAACAGGATGATGTGTGGATGCTTTATGATTTTGTCTTTTGATTGAAAAGCTAAATCCTCAAGTGAGATTAAATCCTTTTTACTTCATTTTTCAATCACAGCGATAAAAAATAAAAAATGATTGTGAATTTAGACCAACCAGTTGCTTGTCCAGCTGCTGATTTGAAGTTACTACAACTTTAAACTTTAATTAGGAGTAAGTAGAAATGGATTTCTGAAAAAACAAAAATCTCACTCTAAAACCTTTACTATGTTGTATCTTATACTGTAGATAATTCTCACTTTCAAACACATACAGCAGATTAATAAAGGGAAAGTCTTGACAACTTGTTCCCACTGAATGCTACTAAACAGGAACAGTAGGTTTTCACTCCAAAAGCTGCAGAAAAATACATAAGCATACTTTGCATTTTTCAAAGAAGTCCCGGTGACAGATCTAAGGCTGAAAACTAGCTCAAAAGACATTTACAGTTCAGGGCTTTTATGAGTGATGGGTTAAAACCTGAAAATTCTCTCTACTCTTCTCCTTTCTACCTTCTAAAACATTCAGTTTGAGTGTGTTTTTTCAAATGGCTACAATCATATTGTGATTGTACAGCACTATAAAAGTGACACTGACTCTCAATCCATAGCAGTGGTAGATAAAAGTGCTTTTGGATTCAGAAAACCTTGTTTGAAAGTTGGAAAGTTGTGACACACTATGTTAGCACACACTTCATGCACATCTTAATAGCAACCTTAAACCCTAAGCACTTTGATAATAATCATGTTTGAAATATCAAATTTGACTGAGATAAGTCTAAAAAGAAACTCTACCCTTTATTTTTGTTGTGACTACAGGTTTTTACGGAGAAGCGTCAACAGTGCAAAGACTTTCCTGCTCCTGGGAGTTCTCATGGTTGTTTATCTCTACATAGACTCTGTTGATCACAAAGTCCACCATGTCAGAATGAATAGCAGACCAATATCATTTCTCACTCCAAATACCCTCTCTGTGTTCTCTTGGCAAACCTGTACACAAAACATGTCAGCTTCCAGCATTCAAAACTTCAGCTCACTTCCTGGTCATATCCAAGACTTCCTGTACTATCAACACTGTCGACATTTTCCCTTGCTCCTAGACCTTCCAGACAAATGTGGAGGAGCTGATCGATCCTCTGAAGTCTTCCTTCTGCTGGTCATCAAAAGTTCCCCAGAAAACCACGAACGCCGAGAAATGCTTCGCAAGACCTGGGCCAAAGAGAGGTTACAGAACGGAGTGTGGATTAGACGACTCTTCATCACAGGAACTACAGGCTCTGGTTTTAGGGAAAAAAGACTGAACAAAGTTGTTGAGCTGGAGCACAGTCAGTACAAAGACATACTTCAATGGGACTTTGCCGACACGTTCTTCAACCTCACATTGAAGCAGGTAGTCTTCCTGAAGTGGTTTGAAAGAAACTGTCCAAAAGCCCGTTTCCTGTTAAATGGTGACGATGATGTTTTTGTGAACACAAACAATGTGGTCAAGTATCTCCAAAATCTTGAGGACAATGATGGAAGCAAGCACCTCTTTACTGGCCATCTGATCCAGTATGTAGGGCCTGTTAGAGAATCATGGAACAAGTATTTTGTCCCAGTTCAGGTGCAGGTGTCAGACCAGTATCCTCCCTACTGTGGTGGTGGGGGCTTCATACTGTCTGGTTACACTGCTTCAGTCATATACAACATGTCCAAGTCCATCCCTCTTCTTCCCATTGATGATGTTTACATGGGCATGTGTCAGGCCAAAGCAGGACTTAGTCCTAGTTCGCACATTGGTGTGAGGACTGCAGGAATGTACATTCCCTCCAGTGGTGTTGATGATCATGATCCTTGCTTCTATAATGAAATTCTTCTTGTTCACAGATTTTTTTGCTGCGGATTTGTTTCTTATGTGGCACAGAATAAATGACCGAAGTCTAAAATGCTTTGGCAATGCTTTAAATTGAGTATTGGGAGATGGCAGAGGTCGGTGGTGTCAAATACAAATACTTTTTTTTGTACTCCGATCCAAAATATAATCTAATGCTATTCAAAAACTCCTGCACCTTGTCCAACTAAAAAAAATAAAACATTAGCAATGTTTCAGTCCTAGACCTCGATCAAGCAAACCTATTTTTTTTTTTTCTACAAATCATCAAATGCTGTACCCTAACTTAGTGCAAAAAGCTTTACCTGCATAGCTTATGACGCGCTGTTGCACAAGACTTACCGATGTTGAGAGATGGGGATGTAAAATTAAACTTTGCTACCAAACTGCTTTGGTGAATACTTTCAGTTTGGTGCAGATGGTTTGTCACAAAAAAAAAAGTTACTCAAAACCAAGTTACACACACTAACCTAAAAGCTGAGTCCACCACACACAACATGCTAGGCCCCTATTATATGGTACTAAAATGTTGGTGTCAGAATAGGAACTTTACAAACAAATAGCCTCAAACATACAGAAAATATCTTTTCTCTTTTTTTTATACCTAAGATCAGTTTGGTGATGGGATTTAAAGAAATACAAAGCAAGCCTCATGGAAAACTAAACAGTATGAAAGGCACAACTTAGAGGGGATGTGTTAAGAACCAGTCATTAAGAACAGCAGATCTCTTAAATCTCTTGACAGCTTTAAAAACAAACTGTAAAAAAAAGCTTACATGCATTTTAACTCAGTTAACATAGATTAAATATCACATCTTTTAATCTGTATCACATATTCCTGGTGTAAATGTTACTCTGTGTTGGGTCTTAAATGGATGTCCCATTCGAATGCTGTTTTATTACTAACGTGATGTTTTTAGAGTGACCTCCATGGTGTCTGGACTTGTTCTCATTTGTTTAATGTTTCCCATGTTTTGTATGTAAGGTGTATTACTCAGTGTTTTGTGCCCTTTTGTTCCTAACCTATTTTTTATGTTTTTTGTTTAATTTGTTGCATTTTCTCTTACTGACAAAACTGATAATTGCTATATTGCACTTTGTAATGCCTGTTAAATGCTGTAAGGGGGTAGATACGCTGATGAATTAGCTTTTGTTACTTTTCCCTCTGAAGATATTGACATTGTGCGATAAAGTCCAATGTAAAAATACATTACAGGTTGTTGTTTTTTGTTTTGCCAATTAACACCACTTTGACAAGGATAAGAGTGAAATCAATATCAGAGAGGGTAACTGCTTTGTCCACAGACATCACCACAAAGTTTCTCTTAGGCCCTTTCTATAAGCAAGGTAAATGATAGGTGTTGACAGAACTCTGCTACTGAAATGCTGACTGTGTAAACGCAAATTTGTATTAAATGAAAGACAAAAATTAAATATTGAGTAACTTACTCTGCACCTTTGCAGCTGATAAAGAATAGGAACAATGCCTCTGGATCTATTAAACAAGAAATTGTGATTATTCATACTACTCTCAGGCTCGCGAACAAACTTAAAGGGTTGAAGCAGGACTGTGTGGATTAGCGCTGAAGCTGGCAGAAGGGGGCACTAGAAGAGAAGGAGGAGAGCTTAGAGTTGATCCACTGCTGAAATTACAAAAAATTATACAAGACTCACAAGACAAGAGTTGAGAGAGCCAAGAAGTAGAGACAACCTGACAGCTTGCTGTTAACGAGAGAGAGAATATTAGGCTGCAGCTGACTGGGGATTGATGGGCTGCAGCTGTGCCTGATGAGAGCCTCAGACTGGAGAAACCACACCTCCAGCCTCTGAAACCACAAAAACAAAAAGAAATAAAAAAGGCCTGTCAGCTCTGATATGCAGTACCACTACTTCTTAATTTACCTCCTTGGGCTGTTTTTTTTTTTTTTTTTTTTTACAGCTTACCAGGATTTCTAACCCTTCGTCAGTAACCTTTAATCCATTAACTCTGGTCACATCCTTTCTCACGCACCACATGATGCTCACTTGTGTGATTTCAGTTGAATAAACCAGGAAAAAATGTAGAAATTTGGAACGTGTTTGATTTGCTCAAACTGCCTGTATTATATGCACACCAGTGCGTGTAATAGCTCTGGTATGCAGTAGCACCAGTGCGTACGATAGGGAAGTATCTGCACTTGTTTATTCTACCTAAAGCATCAAATGTAATCAAATCTTTTCTTGGAGGAGGTGTAGATGGTACTTTGGTTAACTCATGCTTATGCTCTGTTTTTCACCTCTGGAGCAAAAGTGAGGAGGTCTGCATTATAGTGTTGCTCTGTTTGAAGAAGGGTTGTATTGAGCATTATTTGCAGAGCCCTTGCAGCACTTCAAATGCAGGATGCCCACAGATTGTAAATCTAAAATTGGATTTTTAGCATATACCTTAATGATGCCATGTCTACAAGTGGGACGCATGGGGGGCTGAAGAGTACAGCAAACCTGATTTGTCACTGAGCTGCTGCCAAAGGCGGGGATAGTGTTAGCATCAAAGTGGAGCGGTAATACAGCTCTGCACCTGTGTGTGACTGTGTGTGTGTATGTATGTCTACATTTCATGCCGTCATTCTCCTGCAATGTTGTGACCATGATGACACGAATTGGAACACAAACAGACCATATTTCCATGGCAACCAACTTCATTTATTATTCATCACGGATTGTCACAAATTGCAGATCAAAAAAGGGGATATATTTTAAAGGAATTAAAAGAAAAAAAAAAACTTAGAATTTCATACTGAAAAATTCCCCAAAAAACACAAGAAGCAAAAATTCAAGGAACCAAAAAAAATCACAGGAGACTCACTGGGGAGACAAGTAAGCACATACCGAGAAACATCCAACACAGAATATACACACAGAGGCATCGACATACAAGGAACTGACAAAGAAACCGGGGAAGACAAAGACTATATATACACACACAAGGAAACGAGCAACGAGAGACAGGTGAGACACAGAGACACAGGTGCAGACAATTACTAAGGAGGGAAAACTAAGGAAGTAAAACAAGACTAGAAACACAAGGGCTGTGTCTGAAATGAATCACTCAATCCCTAACCACTAAGCCCCATATGGGGTTTCACTATATTGCTGACTATGTAGTGAACTCAATCGCCGGAGGTTTTGGACACTACATGGCAAGACGCAATGCATGACGGGATGCCCACCACCGGTGAGTAGCCATCTGATGGTCACTACATTTTGCAATGCTCTATGGGAAATTTGAGTCGCCTATATGGGCCATTAGAATTGATCACTTAGGTTTCGGACACCCCTCAAAATGGCCCTAACCCCCATATAGTCGCCTATATATGGGTTAGGGATCCATTTCTGACACAGCCAGGGAATCAACTACTACAAAATAAAACAGGAAACACTGAAAACTGATAATAGAGAATAAAACATTGAGAACATGAGGGAAACAGGGTCAGACACAAACTGAAAACTCACAAGACAAGACCACAGGGGAACAGGAACAATAGGGCACAGAAACACTAGGGAAAATACACTCAGATCACCAAAACCAGGGGAACAACAGAACATATCATGACATTATTACAGTTTTTATGTTCCTAAATGGTATAAACTTTGATAATCTGGCACACTATGGCCTTTTTACAGTTCCCTGATTGATAAGCAGATATAAAGGCCTGTATTTATCCATAGAGAAGTCGGCCATTTTTAAAATGTATTCCTCAAGAACACATTTTACAGCTCTTTTCGCTAACTTCATTCTGTTAGTTTAAAGCTTAACAAAAACTGCTGACTTTAGCATTCAGACATTTTTTTCTATTCATGTTTAAAGATTACACATGTACCAAAAAAGGAGAAATGTGTACAGGAATCATTATTTTATATGTGACCTTTTTTGGAAGCACAAATGTTTGTTACTGCCTACATTTCTACATCACATAAAGGTTAGGTCTCACTTTATGTTTATACCACCTTCCATCTTTAGTCAGCTCTCTTTTTGATCGATTTCGTCTTTGTGACAATGGCTGTGTGCATGATCAGGCGGTCATTGTAAATGTGATAACTGAGGAGGAATCGACCAAGGCTAATGGAGATGTGTTCTGTTGTTTGCTGATCTACCCTGTGTTTTACTTTTAAATATCTCCTGTTCTCTCTCCACTTGCCAGTCTTTCTAGCTGATTATCAGATAGGAGTGGCAAAATGACCACATTTTGGCAGATTATTTTGCAGATTTTTCTGCAATTTTTTAAAAAAAAAGAAAAAAATCCTCATCATGTGCCAGAGTAAGGTTCAGGGTGTGGTTTAAATTGCAAGTGGATCAACATACTTTTCAGAGAATCCAATAAAGGGGGCTTTCACACATATGTGGTTTGGTCAAGACTTTAAGACTTTTCTGTTTGGTCCGAACCAAAAAAAAAAAAAAAATAGGTGTGAAACCTCCCCTGGACCTTGGTCTAGACCAAACAGATGGATCTTGATCAGACCAAAAGTGGTGGTCTCAGTCAAGACAAGGCAGAACCACGGTTCGGTTCATGCCCAGCATGAAAACATTAATTTGAAAAAGTTGGACCTTCGAACTTAAAAAAGAAAATGATGGAAGTCGTAGAAGTGTCCGTGATTATGTTGAATGGAGATTGTGCATGAAAGGGAAATTTTATAATACTACAGATGAAGTTATACCTCACTTTTGACAGCTTTTCTTTTGCAGGATTGCACACTTTCTTCTCCATTTCTGTCAACAACAATAAAGTTGTCGTCTAATGATAAAATGAATAATGAATAAGATGAACTCAGACCATCCTCATGCCATGTACAGCTCTTCAATTGTCACTGTTGGTAGTAGAAAATCAACCATAATATGAAGGTAGGAATGACGATTTCATTCAACATTCAAGTTCTGTGATATTCAACACGTTGATGTCAGATGCCCACCTGTCGAATGACCAATCAACGTAAGTAAGTAAAGTTTATTTGATATAGCACCTTTCACAGAGCACAGTCACTGAGTGCTTCACAAAATAGC